AAAAGCTGCTGGTTTATTTGTAAAATGCATATACAGTTTATACTTTAAAGACAGAAGTTTTCACCAAACCTTTGGTTAAAGTCTCTGACCCATTTTATTGGTCTACAGAAGTGTCTAGAAAAAGCAGCATTCTTTACAGAGAACTATGTAAACTATAGCTACATAGATGTTAACTGAGGATTGATTTACTCTACAGGAATCCACAATAGAGAGTGTTTTTCAGTTAGGATAGCATTAGCTGTTTGACTCCTTACTACCACAAGCTAATGCTAGATGCCAGTAAACACTGAGTAACTGCATAATGTAGCATTGTTGTTATTTACCAATGTGGATTCTTTTGACTACATTCAATATAGCTGTTTAATTTTTATTAGGAGTCTTAAATATTCAGATTTTATTAGTATATATTTATCGTTTTTCTTAGATTGCTTTTTGTCAAAGGTATAGTGGAGGATTGTCTCAATTTTTTGAATATATATATAAAAAAAAATGCACATGCACAACCCTGTACCCGCTCCCGAGAGGGAAAACCTATTATACCTGTGCAGAGCGTGCACAAGCCTATTTCTCCTCCTGCACTCTCTGTTTAAAAGTTTCTGTTTGCATCGCTCATACGAGCTTACTTTCCAAAAGAAGATTTGCAATTTTTCTTCTATAACAGACCCACCACCGGTCATTTAAAATGGGGATGAGCAATTAGGAGGACCTCCTAATTTGATGATCCACTTAGATCCATCTTTTTGATGGAATTTTATAGATTTTAAAACTTTTAGTGCTACTGCTTATGAAGTATTATCTGTTCTTTACATCCATAACTCAGTTCTGATTCAGTCCCTATTTGACCAACAACAAAGCTATACAACTAAAGAAAAGAAACAGACAGTAATTCTATTGCTGCTGAGTTGTCGACCCAGAGACACAATCTGAATCTGATAACAATCTATATATTTGATAGATGTATAACGTGAGCCAAAGTAACATCAGCCGAATGAAGCGTCAAGCAAGCGCTTCTCGTTAACTCATGATAGACTTCAGGTGTTGTTGATCAAAAGTTATCAAGGGTCCTTTCTTGTATTAAATCATGTGGGTTGGCCAAGCAATAAAATCTGACATCTCACCACAAAACATCAGTTGCTATAAGTTCCACAAACAGGGTCTGGGCTGTACTGTAGCTTATGTGTGTTTTCTCACACTAGAAACAAACTAAAACAGATGCTCATCTATTGACATCACCATAGACCCGCCCCCTGGGACCAGGAAGTAGTATGGTTTAGCTGGGAAGGTCTATATTTAACCCACTTGACCAAATCAAGAAGACATTATGTCATTTTGATAGAAAAACAAGTTACTGCATCTAGTCTCCAGTACTAAAGTTGTTTGTCAGATTGAGTGGCGGGGTCACACCATGATTGATGCCAGATCAAGACACACAGGAATCCAGACTAACATTTTATAGGTGTGCCTAAATACTCCACAGCACCACCTAGAAGCTCTAAAACAATCATCTGTAAACCATGCTTTGACCGAGGATTATGAACTTTGGTCCACGTGTATCATCTCAGGACCATATTGTTTTCTGTAGAACAAGAAATAATGAGTTTCTGAAGCAGAAAAATTTATACATATGTAAATAAAGGTTTTTTTATTATTTCGTAAACAACTATGACAACATGCGAGAACATAACGCATTTTAAAAAGTGCTGAAGTGTTCATAATGAGATAAATAAAAGGTCTTGGCATGGTTTCTACATTGAGACTCAACTCTGACATTTTTTTTATGTAGTTTTGCAACACAAGGTAAGATGAAATTTACTCTACGATGCCTGTAACATGTTTTTTTGTTAATTTTGGGTTCCTTTAATCCCCTTTTATTATGAAACTCCTAAAGTAAGAAAAGCCAAGTGCAACCATTTGCTAATTATCCAATAACTGCTATTGAATTGTAAAAAAAAAAATCTCCTAAGAAACAACTTAAACTCTGAGATAGTAACATAACTAATTAACAAGAAGTTCAATCAGTGAGCAAAGTGTTTAAAATTCACTTTGGGTGATCTAAAGTTATTCTACTTCTGCTTACCTAGACATGTGTAATTCACCTCCAGGTATTTGTAGGTATTCGGGCAGGGATCTCCAAAACGACCGTTATTTGCCTTAATTCTACATATCCGCTCTCCATTGCAACTGTGGATTCAGATAATTTTGATCAAAAATGTGTTTAGGCCTTTCTTACAGTCCCTCATTCACTCATTTCTATAGTTCCTATTTGGTGAAATAAATGATTGAAAATATAGCTGGCCTTTAGAAAACACTGAGCATCTGTACCTCTTAGTCACATTATCCAGTTTACTTTGTTCTGTGAAGCAGTTGACATTCTCTAATTTCTTTGGTTCATTCTGATACTTCTCGGAGCAGGTTGTGTTGTCACGGCGTCCATATGCGAGTCTTCTCACATATATAACCTCACCTTCGCCTGACAGGGAATAAACATGTTAGAAAGACAGAGATAATCATTATCACTGAAATCTCAATCTGTTGATGGTGTAATGCTGCACAACCAATAATTGAAACCAGTGATGTTACCGCATTCAAGTTCAGCCACATCGTCCTCACAAGTCACATCAGGATCTCTCTGGTAGATGTCTCTAAGTGCTGCCATATAAAAGATTCAGAGACATTAATTACTATTTCAGGACATTGAACAGCTAATATCTGCTTAGAAATGGACCTAAATGAGAAAGTCCCATCATTTGAACAGCTGTTACTGAGCAAAATAAATAGATTATTTTAGAGTTTTAGAAAAGCGATCAATCCACAGTACCTCAATAAACATTTTCTTTTATATATTAGTTTCCATCAACTTTTAGAAATAAAATGACATAAATAACGACCAGACGTCCTCTTTTTTCCCGGACATGTCCTACTTTTTATTCCTAAAAAATCGTCCGGGATTTTGTTCGACTACAGTGCAGCAGAACCGTGCCGAACTGCCGTTGTTTGGTGAAGTTAAGTTAGAAAGATATTCACAGATTCGGACTTCCGGGATCAATAACTCTCACACGAAACGTTGTTGAAACACAAATGACACCTCTTTCATGTCCTGATAGCACAGACTACGTACTACAAGAATCAAAAAGCGTTATTTTCGAGAAAACCGAGCCGTTCTCTAATCTGGATGTATTACATCGATCTCTATGCACAGGCAGCGGCCAGGCGAGTGGTTAGGGACCGTCTGCAAATGGTTAAAAAAAACAGCAAAACGTTGCAAATAAAAATCAATAACTCCACTGCCATAAAGTGCAGAGACTCCAAAATCACCACACACACCAAGGGGCTCTTGGTGATCGCACTACAACAGCTGGTTTGGAAAAATACACCTTTACTTTTTTTTTTTTTTTTTTTTTTTATTATTATTAACCATTAATATCATCCTATTTCAAGCAATAGCTCTGTGATTATACAGTGCAGACAATCCAAAATCATCACACAGACCAAGGGACTCCTGATGATCATACTACAACAGCTGTTTTTGAAAAAGACACCTTTACTTATTTGTATTTTTTTTTTTTTATTGTTATTAACCATTAATATCATCTTATTTTGATCAAGAGCTCTAAGGCTGTACAGTGCAGACACTCCAAAATCGCCACAAAAACCAAGAGACTTCTGGTGATCATACTACAACGACTGTTTTGGAAAAAATACACATTTACTTATTTTTTATAATTTTTTATTGTTATTAACCATTAATATCATCATATTTTGATCAATAGTTATGTGATTATACAGCTATTGATTAAAATAGGATATTAATTAGATATTAATGGTTAATAATAACAAAAAAAATCTAAAAAAAAGTTAAAGTGTATTTTTCCAAACCAGTTGTTGTAGTGCGATCACCAAGAGCCCCTATATATGTATATATATGTGTATACATATATATGTGTATACATATATGTATACATATATATATATATATATATATATATATATATATATATATATATATATATATATATATATATATATATATATTCTTTAGTCCATCAGCATATCCCACCAATTGCATAGTTGATGGACTTAGCAGAAAGATTTGCACTACCAGATATGAAACACTGCCCCATGCTTTGAATATGAGAAAATTATATAAAATGACTCAGAAACAAAAAGGGTTTTGAAATAAAATGCCTTTATATTTTCTATAATGAATATTATACTTTAAACACAAGTTGAGCAGTTTGCACCAAACCTTTGGTTAAAATTTGTGACCTATTTTGGAGGGGTAACAGAAGAGTCTAGAAAAAGCCTCAGCATTCTATACAGACCACTATTTAAACTTCAACTACTTCAACTACTTAAACCTCAACTTCAGCTATAAAGATATAATCAGACAAGGATTAATCTGATCTACAGAATCCCACAATAGAGAAGAGGTTTATTCAGTTGGGAGGACATTAGCTGCTAATCAACAGGCTAATAATAGATACCAGCAAACACTGAATAATTACACAATATAGCATTGTTAATATTTCACAATGTTGATTATCTTTGTGACAAGATTCAAGAGTCTTAAATGCTCTAGGTTTATATATATTTATTGTTTTTTCTCTCATTCCTTTTGTTGAATATTCAGCTAGAGACCCATTCATTGTGGGGAATTATCCTTTTATTGTAATTTTATGCCTTTTAAGACTTTTTTGGACATCAATAATAAAGCAGCTTCTCAACTACTAGATTTAATTGCTACTGCTGTTCTTCACAACCATAACTCAGTGTTGGATCAGCCCCTATTTGACCCAGGAATGAGTAGCAGCTCAACTAAAACAAACATTAGTTTTCGTTGTACACCTGAAAAGAAACTGACAGCATAACACTGTAAATCTGTGTTGGTTTAAGATGTACATGTTAGAGTTTTAGTGCAAAACCCCATTTGACAGCTAACAGTGGTCAGAGATAGCCTAGTTTATGCATGATGAATACGATGGTTGAGCTCACCTTCCAGTTTTGCTTTGAAATGATCTTTTGCAGTGATGATGCCATAGAAGTTATCAGCGACAACATATGTTTGGTTTTCCCAACATTTTCCAATCTTTTTTTGATGCCATTTTGCTGGAAGATTTTCAAGGAACAAAGGAAAAAAATGTAAGATATTAAATTGATAAATCACTAAATATATTCTTTAATGAAAATAGGTTTGATAAGTTTGGCTTTAGATGTTTGCAATGATTATACTTACAGAAGGACAAATCCACAGGACAGAGGAAGCCCAGAAGGAAAACCTGAATCATCCAGTTTTTGGGAGACATGTTGCTTTCATGGCATTGAGTCTCAGTCTGATTGGATGATCCGTTCTCAGCTGGAGTTGATTAAAAAACACAGACAGACATTTAAGATAAAGTTTAAAAGAAATAGCTTGGAAAATGAACCATTTCTTATTAGCATAAGTTCAGCATTTACTTTACTTCGCTTCAAGCAGTCGGGAGCTCTAGCATCCACCTGAGGCTCTTTGCTAAATGAAATGTTAACACGCTTTGCATAGAAACCATGGTCAAATATTTTGGTTTGCAAATTCTGGTAATGTCAGCAGGGATGACTGTGCTGCTCTCTTATGTTTGCAAATTATTTATTACCAGAAATAACGTTTTGCTGTTGTAGATTATTTATTATTTTGAATTTAAGCATTTTTCTTTAATGGGACATTTTTATTACATTTAATTTTGAAAACGTAAAAAACTAATTTGCAATATCAAAGGTAAGCAACTTAAAAACTTTCTTTCTTTGTTTGATTTAGTTTTTGCTTATTATTTTTTTGTTTTGTTAGGCCAACTTTAGTGGCAAATAAAACATTTCAAAACAATTTTACAGATACATGCCTGTGATATTTTGCAACCATAAAGAAGTAAATACAGGAATACCTGGAAAAAAAACGTCTCTACGCATCCCTGTATTTGTATTAGAGAACATATAAAACAGTTTGAAAGTGATCTTAAAAATGAATTAAATTCTAAGGGAAACAGGGTGTTTAAGCTTGCTTTAGGAAAGACGTTGGCAACAAAAAACTGAACATGTCTGAATTTGTATTTGAAAATTGCCAGCTTTTATTGTTGTGATTTATATTCAATGCCAATCCAGGTGGGTTGCAGACGTCTAACAGCTGTTTATGAGCCAAATTTGTTTTCTCTTCTCTGGTCATCATGTCAAGATGAAACATGGACACTGGTTCTCAATGTCCACAAGCCATGATCATGGCATATGGCACAACATTGTCATTACCCTGTCACAAGTACAGAGCAAAGAAATTCACTCTCTGCATTTAACCCATCTCCTTGGAGAAGCAGTGGGCTGCCATTGTGCGGCAAGCGGGGAGCAGTGTGGGGTTAAGGGTCTTTGCTCAGGGAGCCAGAGTGGCGGTCTGTGTGAGTGGGGCTCAAACTCACAACCTCTGGACTCTGAGCACAACGCCCTAACCAATCAGTGAAAAGTTATGCACAGTATATCGTACGTTTTTGACGTTTTTTTCGTCATATTTCATTGTATTTTTACGTCTTGCCTCGAGACAAGATATCCTTGCGCATGCGCATCTTACGCACCATTCAATAACATAGAATTTAACATACAATTAACCCTAACCCTGACCCTATGATACAAAACAACAAGCAACCTGGTGAGAGACTTCAAGAAGTAATTATTGCACAGTTTTTCCCAGTTTTACGTCCGTCCACAGATCTGCTTTTTTCGTCTGTCTGGCTGCGCATGCGCACTGATCTGTTTTTTCGAGGAAAAACGTCAAAAACGTACGTAATACTGTGCATAACTTTTCTTACGATTTCATACGAACTGATAATGAGAATATGTTGAACCACTAGGCCGCCAATTTTCCTAGGCACATTAAATGAAAGGGATTCTTCTAACTCATTCATAGGATTTGATTTATGTAAACCAGTGATCCCCAACCCAGGGCATGTGTACCCATAGTGGTCCGCGAGTGCATTGCAAGGGGTACATAAAAATATTTCTTAGGTAGGGAAATAAAATAGGGCAGGGTTCTGTTCTACTTTGTGAGGACCAAATTGGAAAAAAAAATAAAATACTTTTATCAGCCAAAAAGTTAGTTTTTCACTGATTTCACTTTCAGCTTTGAATCACATCCAAACCAAGCAGCTCAGGTGTCATTAATGTTAAAATCAAAGTAAAATAAATGGATTCAGTCTGACTATAATTTTTGTTTAGTATTTGATTCCAATTCATCAAGTTTATATATGATTACAGGGGAGTTACTCAGAAGAGCTCCACTTATATAAAAGCAGATTTATAATATGATTTTATTTTGATTTCTAACTAACTTCCGGGCAACATATTTATGTTCTTTTTCTTTTTTTGAGATGGAAAGAATAAAATGCCTAGAATTATTGTACACTCCACTTTTGGGAAATCATCAATACCCTTGACCAGTACTCATGGAAAGAAAAAATGCCTCAAGTGGTGCACCAATCAAAAAAGTTTGACAAACACTGATCTAAACCAACGGCATTTTACCAGATTAGACCAGAGGACAATGGTCTTCTTTGTAAAAGTATCACCAAAATGGGGATGTTTGTCTCAATTGTCCCTCTCCCTATTTACCAAACAGAGCAAATCATCCAAAACCCTTCCTATAATTTGTTAAACATGAGGCTGGAGGGATGATCAACTATGTATTTAATAGTCCAATGATTCTAAGCACAGCAGCAAATCTATGTTTGAGAGGACAAAACTCTTATGCTAATGTGGCAGTGTCAATGTTTGGTGGAGGTTGGTTGAGGACCCAATATTGAGATTAGGAGGCAGAGATGAGCTTTGCTGATTTAATGCAAGATCCAGAGGCAAACAAGGGGCAAAAATCCTAAACTACAAAATTTTGAAAACCAAAAAATTAGAAGATGCCAGGGAGAAACCCCTGCAGGGACGTCAAGTAACAACCAAATAACAAGAAACCAGCATCGAGGAACTGATAAGGTGGTGTATATATGGGGAACAGAACAAAGAATTGGCTAATGAGCTGATATGAAGCAGGTGTTGATAGAATTAACTAGAAGGGAGCCTAGGGGAGAGGGAAAAGGCACAAGGGGGCAACAGAGAGTGACTAAAGAAATACAAAACTGCATAAATATAACACAAAATGGAAAAGACACCAATGAACAAGAAAACACAGAATAACAAATCAAAGTTGAACTGAAAACTTTAAAAACTTAAACAGAAGTACACAAGGAGAGAACCATAACAGAGAGATGCAGAAGGTCACTATTTCTAAAGTTTGGCTTGACTTTATGATCACTGGAGTTGCTTGGATGGATATTCAGTTTAGGATATGTTTTATATAATTTTAGAAGTATATTAAGGAGTTTTGCTTTTAATCAGAAGAGTTTTGGATACTGCTAGATAAACACTGCTAGATATACAAAAACTTTAAGCTTAAACAGGATGGAAATCACTTTTCTATGGTAGCGTTTGTTGCAGACCAACACAAAGGAGCCTATTATTGTTAATTTGAAGGAAAATTGGGATAATTTCCCTTTTTCTAGAACAGCAAATTGTGCTATCCATCTATTTATTTGCAAATAACCATCATGAAAACCAACATAACCCCTTGACAAGTAAGGGATTACAGAAAATTCTAAACATCTCACAGAGAACTTTTCAATTTATGCTATGAAAGCTGAAAGATTATAACAGCTGCAAGTCTACAAAGATATGATTCTCCATCTAAACCGACAGCCCAGAGTCCAACAAGTTGAAAATGTGTTCGGTCTTTTGCAAGACATTATGCTTTTTGTCAATATTGCACAACACAGACTCAATTAACATGTGCTTATTAAACTTTAGAGCCAAACTTTTCTAAAATGTTGTAACTTATGTTTTTTACACCGTGTTATTTTTAAATGTTGCGGCTTATTTGATATTATCTTCATAATGTTGTGTTGTGGTCAAAGAGTCTTCGATGTTAAGAAAAAAAATATATTGTTTCTCCAACCAGACATGAAATGATATATATATATTTTTCTAAATACTAACATAACACGGTTTCTTTCCCTGCAGGGGTCTGCAGCGCCAGTCCAATATCACAGCAATCTGTTTTACCACTGGAGTGTTTAGAAATCAATATCATCTGATTTCTGATTAATACAACTATTTACTTGGTGTAGAGATGAACTGCTCTTCCTGCAGCACAACAACCATGTATTATGCTCCTGTTTCTAAACTAAGCAGTTTGCATATTGTGGTTTGCACCCGTCTCTATCTGCAAACAAATGCATGGCAGTCTTTTTGACAGAATTTGTTTCCTCAGCTCACAAAATAAATCCACAGAAAACCAAGCTTTTTGTGCCTAAATGCCTTTTATTTGTATTATAGCTTTTTATGGTGCTTTTTGGGATGATTTCAACCAATATTGTTGCACTGTGGATGATAACATTCTGCCAACGTCACCATCAATTTTAATTTTCTTCAAAGGTTGATACGTAAAGCTTGAGACAATTTCACTGAAATCATCTTTTCCCTGTATGATGGCTTGAATATAGAGTTTCTGGTGTCATGCGGCATTTTAAAGATGCAATTTCCTCACTTCATTAAATAGGTGCTTTTAAGAAGGGAAATGTGCAGACAGTAATTCTTCTGTTTTTTCTCCCAGACTTTTGCTCAACGGAAAGCATTTTTTCAATCAGAAATTAACCTGAAAGTTTCACGGTATTTATTTATTTATTTTTTTGTTGTTTTATATTTCCAGAGAAACTAAACCGAAATCTCAAATTTGATAGTTAAATAACATCTCGTAAGTCTTCTGTCTCTAAACTGACTAACCTAAATTATAAATAGGTTGAAATGAGGAACAGGGAAGAGAATAATAATGTTTTCTAACATATATGTCCAATTCCAATGTGAAGCACAATTACAGCCTGTCACCTGTACACGGTTATTTGAATTCACGTTTACATTTGTACCATGCCTCTTTGATGTTTATTTATGCCGGGTTGTTTGCATTTTCCTTTTTTAGCTCTCCCTCAATGTTATCTCTCTGACTTTCGTTTTGGTAACGTAAGATTTTCCTCTGGCTTGCATAAGCTGTACTTTCTTTCAGTTTCAGAGTCGTAGCTGGTTTATATCTTTTCACAATTTGTGGACAAAATTGTTGGTATACCCTCATTTAATGAAAGAAACAAAAATACAATGCTTGTTCACAGAAATCCCCGGAAATCACCAGAATCTAACAAAAGTAATGAAATTGAATGAAAAATGAACAAATAAAAGTCAGACATTCCTTTTCAAATATGCTTTAAGAGAATGATCCTAAAATGTTCTTGGGAATGAGAACAGATGTCACAATGAGATTACCTGTATGAATAAACATCCCCTGGAACCACAATGCATGAAAGAAAACAGGATCATGACAGCGTATATCCAGCAGCTGTTAATCAGAACTCTTTTATTAGAAATGTACTTTGAATACATGAATGCCCTCACATTTACATGA